ATTTTGAAATTAAATTTTTTTTATTGAAAAAGAGGCGATGGTGGTGCAGCGTATAAAAGAGGTCAGCTGTAAAACCTTAAAAAAAAACTTAACGTCCCAAAATTATTACGTTTTTGAAAGTTATAGTTTTTCTGTGAAAAATACAGTTCTTTTCCTGGGAAGTTGGTCGTTCTAAATTTACCAGCTTAAAAAATTACCTATTCGTCCTTGTAATTCCAAAAAAAATTTTTTTTTTTTAATTCTAAAGAAACTTTCTCTTTCGTTTTGTACCTATATTGTTATTCTACATTGCATTTTGGAATTAATCATATGTTTAAAAATTACACAAACAAATTATACTCACATTGACAATCAATACAAAATAAAATTACAACAAGCACATCATTTGGATAAACAGTACTAGTTCGCCTTGAAATCAGCTGATCCGGTAACACCACCTTATATAAATTCGCCTTGAAGCGGCTCTTGGAGTTTTCGAGAGGATTCTTCGAAAGATTTACGGGCCTTTACACGTAGGCGATGGCGAATACCGCAGACGATTTAACTATGAATTAAAAATCAGCGGCTCCGCTGGTCATGTCGTTCGAATGGACAGAAATGCTCCTGATCTGAAAGTATCCAATGCGGGTCGCGATGTTGGTAACGAAGAGGAAGGCCTCCTCTGCGTTGGAAAGACCAGGTGGAGAAGGACTTGCCTTCGCTTGGCATTTCCAATTGGTATAGGCGGTTACAGCGCCAATAAAGAAGAAGAAGAAAAGGTATATTTAACTTGGTTTGTCAAGCCCAAGGCGTATTCATATAAGGTGGTAGCGGCAGCCCAGATTCAAAAAAAGCACTAACAAATTATACGTACAATGACAATCAGGACAAAACAAATTTAAAACAACCACATTATTTTAACAATCACTAAAACCAAGGCGAATTTATACAAGGTTGTATTACTGGCGAATTTAGATTTTCGCTGCGGTCCTTCTCAATGTCAAAACGGTGTGTTTGTTGTAAACAAGGCGAATTCATATTACAACAAACACATCATTTTGACATTCAGAAGGTCCGCGGCGAAAATCTCAATTCTCCAGTAACACTACCTTGTATAAATTCGCCTTGGCTTGTGTGGTTTACTTCGCTCAAGGCGAATTTAATAAGGTGGTGTCACCGGCGAGTTTTTTTTTTTTAATAAAATCTGGCGACACTGGTTAGTGCTCACTCTAGTAACTTTTTTAAGTTTATATAAGTGCGAGCATTCCTTTTGGGTGCTACTAAAAAATTCATGCAGGGGGGAAAGAATTAGTTTCTCTTACAATGTTATCACTTTTCACTTTGGTTTGTAACCATATCGATGAAACAATTATTCCAGCGCTCGCCGAGCCGACTATCAACCCACTACTAGGAATGCAGTTTTCTGGTAAGACACAGTGCTCTGGGAATTAGCTTGATTTGGATGTCAGTAGAGGCGACCTAGAGAGAGCTTGGACATTCCAGATCTGCTTCTGTAAAACCATACGTAAGATTAGCGCCTCGTCACTCACGTCACTGTTAACAGTTACAATTTTGAAAAAAAGAAGAGGCTTTTAATTTTTGACAACCAGCAATTTCACTGATAATAACATCGGCCTTATAATTCGACAAGGAATTTTACTTTTAGGCTAAATAAGTAGACAATTGGGAAGTAAGTCACATTTTAGTAATGAAAGCATATGACGAGACGACTTTTGGAGTTATATTATCCGGAAGACTTATTAGCCAACCACCATTTCATAGATCTTCTGGCAAAATTCCAGGCGAAGCTGCAAATCTGCTGTACGTTCAATTTGTGTATGATTAGAATTTCATAAGGGAATAAATTCCAATTTTTGAACATAATTCTCTGCAGTGACTATCTGCTAATACCTATTTAAACAGATAAGCTCATTGTCGAAACTCTGAGATTTTCCTCTATGGCAGCAGCTACAGCAGCGATAGTTTCCTGCGCCCGAACTAAAGGGCTTCGATGGTAAGGCCTTCTTGCGTTTGACCAATGCTCGGAAAAATTGTTTACGAGCCTCAGTATAGTCCATCTGCTCGAAGGAGTGCCGTCAAACGTGCGCCTATATCATCTTTGTACCGAAACTACGGTCTACAATTCGTGATAGCGGCGGACAATCCAAATTCTTGAATCCGTGTCCCAATCCTCCATTTTCGTTAAACGTAAAGATCAGTCTATAAAATATAAAAAAATTTGAGCAGATTAATTATATAGAAAACAAGTTATTAATTATTTGTTTGGTAGCAGCTTTCAACAGCCACTTTGTATAAATAATATATTTGGCTGTTACAAACAACCCATATGCTCCTGAATGAAAAGCTAAATTAAGGTAAAATATTTTAACCCTTAATTGGCACTCGGGGCCAAGACCATTTCAAATTTAAAAAGGTCTTGAAGTACTTGGAGCACTTTCAGCCTCATTATAGCTTCCTCCCTCCCCGGGAGTTACGTCATTTAATCCCGACCAGAACGTCGGCGCGTACATAAGTGTGGCTGCTATCTTGAATGCTGACCGCATGCGATCACCAACGTAACATTGTTTGGCGCAAATTAATTATTTTTATTTAATTTTGAAGTTATACAATTTGTGTTCATTTAAGTTAACTATAATAAAGAACTTTTATATTTTTCATACTACCTACACACCTCCTTTTATTTATTTCTGACATTCCTTCTTTAACACTTTTATTTGGGTCACTCAATGCGACTAATTATGTGATTTTATTTGTGCGCCTAACTAAGGGTTACACCTTCTGTCAAGCTAATTTTGCACTTGTATCACTTTATAATTACACAAGTACTTTATAAGTCCATGTAAATAATTTTAATTGCATGGTTTGAAAATAATTGAAGTGAAGTAACTCGCATGCACAATAGTTCATTCAAAACACTTGATAAAATGTGTAAAGCCATAATTTGCGGCAAGCCAAAATCTCACACACGAAACATATTATTCAATTTATAAATATGTATGTATATTTTCGGCGTGGTATTCAAATTTCAAATTTATGCACATTGAATTTCAACACACGACTGAAGAGTTAAATTTGAGGCAGTTGCCTAAAAACAAGGACACATTTACAAAACCAGACACATTATGTACAGGTGTGTTGTAATTTACATACACATTCAAGAGGGAGAAAAAGGCGCAAAGTATGCCGAGTTGAGGCTGATATAGCAGCATTTTAAAAACCGGAAATTCAATTGGTAAAATTCCACGAAGTAAATATAGAGGAAATTATAAAAAAATAGAGTTAAAAATATATGACATGAGTTTATTTTAAAGCCAAAATTGTCACCATAAGTGATTCGCTATATAACCATATCACTCTCGGCATTGCGAATGCGGTCTACATGGCGCATGAGTAACGTGTCGTGCACAAATTGCATGCGATTTAAGTAATGACATCATAATGTACACAAATATAAATGTAAGCGTGGCAGTGTGAATATGAAATTGTTTTTGTGGATTTTAATTTGCTAGCAATAAATTTTCTGCAAAAGCGCTTGTCATTGTGGCTTGCTTTTCATTTCTGTTGCAGGCTTTTCGCTTTAATAGTCCATCATAAATCTAAACAAAAGAATTTATTGTTTTGTATTTTTTAAACTCAACCACTTTTGGCAGTTTTCCGCTTCAGCCAAACTTCTTTCTTGCCTTCAACACTGTTCTTGTGCCCAAATGTCAATGCCAAGAAAAAAACCCTAAGCTAAGATCACTGTCGACATGTCTCCTATGCGGTCTCGTTGCTGGTACCCTTTTAATATATTGGCGACGAAATTATTGTACATCTTTTGCAAAAAAAAAATAAAAATAAATATCAACAGACATCCAAAAACGTTGTACAAATTTGTAGAAATGCTGGATTGTTTTGCCAAACGTGCTGCTGCAGAAAGGCCATTACAGCAATTAGCAGCAGATGCTGAAAACTTTTTGCACGCCAATATTTTCTTTTTTTGCTATTGCCATTTATGTTGGCATGCATTTTCTGGCGCTTGTTCATTCTTGCTCATTTTACGCTTTTAGAGGAATACATTTTTTTGGCTCAAATGAAATAATTTTTATTTGCCAATAATATACTCGCACTTCAGATGGACGTCTAGGCGTCTAGATGATCAAAAGAAAGAAAGACAAGAAATGATTTGTTATGTCCAATGAAGCAGTATGTGTGTGTTTTTATTTAAACATTTTATTTATTGTGAATAAAGAGTGAAATAAAAATCGAATGCTCAACTCAATGCCGTCTTTAAGACTTGCCAATTTACAAATTTATTGTTTTTTTTCCACCCAAATTTATCGGAATATTTCCCTTTATTTGTTTACTTAAATTTGTATTATTTTTGTTTGTATAGTTTTTAAAATTTTAACCGATATGAAATTCTCTTTGTGCTTGCCCGTTTAAAAGTTAAATTTTTCAAACCAAACAAAAAAAAAACTTTTTTGCCAGACAAAACAACTGTGCTTGGTTAAGTAGCCAACTTGTTATGCTGAATATAAAGCCAAGATTTGGTCTGAATGCACCTGTGCGATTTCCATCCACAAAGAAATGTAGAAGTGGCATGCTCGTGATGAGGAACCCATACACTGACCGGTGCGAGATCGACAGCGAGGAGTAGCCGATTTCGAGGAGAATTGTTTCAAGCGTTGTCTGCGGCTGCCAAACAATGCTCGCACATTTCATGCTGAAGTCCTGGGCATATGGGAAGCCTTCGGGTACAAAATAAGAGTGCTACTAAGAAAAAAGCGGTGATTTCCTCAGACGTCCAGGTAGCACACCTAGCTATATAATCTCCTGATACCAAGTGTAAGCTAGTTCATGAATGCAAGATAAAACTACGCTCGGTGACTAAATCAATACCCAGCTCTCTTCTCTGGGTGCCTGTCATAAGAACCTAGAAGGCAACGACAGGGCAGACAGGAGTTTATGTTGAAAAACAAATATATTTTTTCTCAAAATTTTTGTGTTTTCTTTGTTAGGTCGGGTACTTCTGGGACCACCCCCGTACCCATTGGATCCCCGCTGATCTGTGTACATATTATTGACTAACCATGCGAAGCCTTTCACCCAAGTTGCTGTTTTTATAACAGCACAAAACAAAATCCCCAAGTGAGAAATTTCAAAGAATATTGTCGAACCTGCGTGGCAGACTCAATATATTCTGGTGATGTACCCTTCTAGGCCGAAATAGCACCTCTTCATTTCCCATTACTGTTCTTTCGAGGCTTTGGTCATTACTTTTCGCAACTGATTCTGTTTGATAAATAAGCCTTAACATTAGTTAAAATTTGGGCAGCAATACTGTCTCTATTAAATTTTCATTAGAAGACTATATCGGCTAAAACTCCAATTTTCTTCATGAGAAAAGAGAGAAGGTAAAAAGAAGCAGAAGATGTGCAATGCAAGTTACCGTCTCGGGACTAGTGGGAAGAGTTCTAATCGCTCTGGTGATACCTTTGTAGATCAATATTTGAGGTGTGGTAAGCCCAGACTATGAGGATTTCAATTCCATTTTCTTTCGTCGGTTAGGTGTAGCATACAGGAATTAGTTTGGCAACAGTTTTATACATCCAGCCGCTTGTTTTTGGTGTAGCAGATTCTGTACATGAAATTTGACTGAGTTCATAAAGGAACTGCACCTCTATATGTTGGTTTCTCGAGATTTTTTTCGTTAGGGATAGCACCAAAATACCTAACTTCTTTAGATAAATGTGTCTTCAGCATGTGCCCTCCCTTTTTATAGAGAAGGACGCTGATTTTTATGAACTTGCATTTATTTTACATCGACTGCATCACCTCACATCTAAGTTAAGCACAGAATTCAACCGCAACTAAAAACTTAATTTTCCCGATGGAAAAGACTCCGAACTTAATATCCTTCTGTTGTGTTCGCTCATAAACTGTCTTCGAGAGAGGTCTACTGCCAGATTACTGCAGCGAAGTAAACGCTGAGATATATGCATTTGACATGACGACATAGTGTAGGTAAGCAGTATAGCTCCATCTAACCGAATAGCAATCATTATTTTAAGTCAGGTAAGCACGGCTTGATAATTTTAGCCTGCAGTAAAACCAGAAGGTGCGAAAAGAAAATTCCTGGTCTTTACAATGTTGTTTTCATTCATAATTTCCATCACACATTACGTCGAGTGCTCACAAATTAACTGTGTGTATTGCCAGCCACAACAACTTGTACACCCAGTGACTTAGCTTTGAGCAACAAAATCCATGGCAAAAAATGGATATGGAGAAATAAAACAAACTAAAAAAATTTATTAGCAAAGAGTGTTAAGAAAATATGTGAGAAATTTTGCCTGAGCAAGCGGGTGGCTCTTAGCGCTGATAGCATAGGGAATAGCAAGTCGCAGAAGCTTGCACTGTGGCATTGAGTAAAAGAGATTAATTTGCAATTTGTATGCCACAGTGGCGCTGAGGTCGATGGCGCAATAAGGAACTACAACAGCAGCGCCAAGAATGAGGTAATGAAAAAAAAAGTATACGTGCTAATGTAAGCCTGACGTACCAATTTAATAACAAACAGAGAATAAAATTCGGCGGCTGCAAATAAAAACTGAAGTGCACAACATGCTTTCGTGTATAACATATAAACATACTTACATATGTATAAGCATAAGGTTATAAGTTGATTTCTATTTATGTATGTGCAGCTGCAAATTCTTTGCGAATTCAATTCCTTGTAATCCACAAATTTTGATTGCCCTGCGGCTGAGATTATGAAAATCTGATTGGAAAGTAAATTAACTTCGTTGTATTTTCCTCTGACATTTCGCAAAAACAAATCAGTTCTTTAGTAGCAGAGTGACGAAATGTCACTTTATATAACTTTCTTGAAAACTGATTTCTTTTTTTCTTTGACTTCTAAATTTCACCTTTCCAGCAAAAGCTTTGACTGCTTATTTTCTTTGAGTTGCTTTTCGGCATTTTTGCACCCGAAGGTTCAAGCTGCTTAAATTTTTTTTACAAGATGTGTTTATTT